TGTGACTGAATAAAGCCCAGAGTTAAATTCACATTGCTTTATAACCTGAGAAATTTGAGGGGAAATTTAAATATAGCAGGAAAGTATGTCAATAGCTTTTAGGGGAGAAAATGTTTATGAGGCCGGAAAGCTCATTCGGTAGAGCCGTGGTATATGTTTCGAGGGTTTTAGGTTCGAGTCCCGATCAGGCTGCACAATATTTTTTTTGTTTTGTTGCTTTCTTCACTTCACTTTCTTCGCCCCTTGACTGCAACAGAACAAAATAATGAAAAAGATAGAGAGTCATCGATTGGCCACGCACAGGTGACAGTATGATTAAATGCTAAATTTTAAGGCGATTCTACGCTAAATATGGGGCAACAAAATGATTTTTATAGTCACGGTTTTCAGAACTATTTCACTATTTAGGGGAGATGATGTGTAAGTGGGCTTGATAACTCAGGTGGTAGAAGATGCTGTACACTATTCCGTGGGTCTAGGTTGAGTTCCGGTCAGGCTGCACATTTTTTCACCCTGTGACACTTGGCGCCAAAACGGGGGGACCGTGACTGAATATAGCTCAGAGTTTAATTAACATTTCTCTGTAACTCAGTAAATGTGAGGATGAACTTAAATTTAGCAGGGGAGTATGTCAACGGTTCAGAACTCTTCACTATTTAGGAGAGATGATTTGAAAGCAGCCTTATAGCTAATATGACTAAGAGCCGCAGTACAGTATTCCGAGGGTCCCGGGTTCAAGTTCCGGTCAGACTGCACATTTTTCTCACCCTGTGACACTTTGCACCCAACAAGGAACCATGATTGAATATTGCTCAGAGTTTAATTTACACTTGAGCCACGTCACGACAAAACCAACATAATGGGTTTGCGACCAGCATGAATCCAGACCAGCCTGCGCATCCGTGCAGTCTGATCAGGATCCATGCTGTTCGCTGTCAGTTTCTGTACTTGTTATAGGGTTTGGCAAGCGAACAGCATGGAATCCTGATCAGACTGCACGGATGCGCAGGCTGGTCTTGATCCATGCTGGTCACAAAGCCATTATTGTTGGTTTTGTCGTGACGCGGCTCAATTCTCTGTAACTCTGTGAAATTGGAGGATGAATTTCAAATATAGGCAGGGGAGTATGTCATGGTTCAGAAACTGTTCACTATTGAATGGAGATGATGTGTAAGCGGCCGGATAGCTAAATCGATAGAGCCATGGTACAGTTTCTGAGGGTCCCGGGTTTGATTTCAATTCAGGCTGCCAGATTTTTCTCAGTGACCCTGTGACACTTGGCGCCAAAACGGGGGACCGTGACTGAATATTGCTCAGAGTTTAATTAACATTTCTCTGTAACTCAGTAAATTAAGAGGATGAAACGTAAATATAGCAGGGGAGTATGTCACGGTTCAGAACTGTTCACTATTTAGGAGAGATGATTTGAAAGTGGCCGGATAGATAAAACGACCCAAGAGCCGGGAGTACAAATTTCCGAGGGGCCCGGGGTTTAAGTTCTTTTGGGCAGGCCACATTTTTTTCACCCCGTGACACTTGGGCCCCAACAAGGGAACCCTTACTGGGAAAATTTCTCAGAGTTAAAATTTTCATTTGGCCCACGTCCGACCCAAAAACCCAAAATAAGGGTTTGCGAAACCCGCATGATCCAGCCAGGGCCCGCCCATCGGGGCGTCTGCCAGGGTCACTGTTTTGCTGTCCCGTTTTTTTTACTTTTATAGGGTTTTCAAGCAAAAGCCCAAAGGGAATTCCCCTTTTATGCAAAACCCCGCGGGGGGGAATTTTTTCCCGGGCCCGGCTGGTTTTTTTTGGAAAACCAGCCCCTTGGGGTTTGGCAAACCCCCTTTTAAAAAGTGGTTTTGTCAGACGGGGCCAATTCTTCTGTAACTCTGGAGAATTAAAGGGAAAGAATTTCCAAAATTTGCCCCGGGGTTAATTTTCATGGTTTAGAAACTGTTTTCCCTAATTTTAACCAAAGATTTTTGGCCCCCCCTTTAAAATTTGTGTTTTTTTTAAGCGGCGGAAAAAAAACCTTAAATTTTGGAATTTTGAGCCATTTTTTTACAAATTTTTCTTCGAGGGTTCCCCCGGGTTGGAAGGGGTTCCCCCCAGGCTTGGAAAATTTTTTTTCCCCCCTAAAAATTGACCCTGTTTTACCACTTGGGCCCCCAACAAAAAAAGGGGAAAAATTACCGGAAAAAAATAAAAGGCCTTCCCAAAAAAAAAAGTTTTAAAATTTTATTTTTTTTGTAACTTGTTTAAATTCAAGGAAAGAATTTAAAATTTTATCAGGGGTTTTAGAATTTTCCCCTATTTTTGGGGGGATGATTTTGACGGCCAGATAGCTAAGTCCCGGGAAGGGGGAGCGAAAGTTGGTAAGGGCCAGCGATATGGTATTCTGAGGGTCCCAGGTTCGATTTCTGCTCGGGCTGCAATTTTTCTCACCCATTTACACTTTGCGCCCAATGGGGGACAGTGACTGAATTAATAATTCTCAGAAAATTTAATTTACATTTCTCTGTAACTCTGTGAAACTCGAGGGGAAGAATTTCAATATTAAAGCAGGGGAGTAATGTCACAGTTTCAAGAAAGTGTTCACTATTTAGGGTCCTGGTTCGAGTTCCCAGTCAGGCCTGCACATTTTCTCTTCACCCTATGAACATATGGAAAAAATGTGTCCCCCTCATTATTTTATTTTTTTGTGTTGTTGCGGTTGAAGGGCCTAATAGTATTTACAAAATTACTGAAAAAGGTTAAAAAGGTTAGGTTGTGACAAATAGATTGTTTTATATGTTTCTCATTCTATCTCTCTTCAAGGTTTTGCTAACTTGTAACAATCACAACCAAACAAAATAACGAAATAGCAACAAATCAGACACCCATAGTTAAGTGATCCTCAATTGGCAAAATGGCAGATGAAATTAAATGCAGTAAAGCTGTGGAGTTCCATTGTTAATTTGAATTGTCATTTTTGTCTAAATGATTTGTTGAGTTGGGAAAAAAGTTTTTAACATTTTGATATCAAAGTTAATTGCAATATAACGACGCATACGTACTCAGTTAATAGAAAGTATTTAGATCACATTTTAACAGAATTTGTCCGCCCATTTTGAAAAAAACGGGGCGAAGGATACAAGCCGCTTTAAATCGTGTTATTTATATTTATGGCCTTTGTTTGATTTAAAAACAATCATTGAATTGTGAATATTAAAATATCTGGCAAGTTATTAGACATTTATTCTTAAGAATAAATGTGTATTGGTTATGAATGACAAGTTTTTAAATTTAAGGTACCCTTTCGGGCAAAATTTTCGGGTAATTTGACCTAGTTTTCGGGAGAAATTGGCCATATTCAACTACAGCTTAAGATTAGTTGTAGCACTAATTTAGAAATAAAAACAATGGACAAGAAACAAAGTTTAACACCCCCTGACAAGTTTTAAAAGCATTTATTTTCCATGAATTTAATACTTTTTTAGAACCTTGACAGGTTTTTTTAAAAATGCCCTACGAAAGATGGAAAATTTGGCGAATTAGCTCAATTTCACGCATATATTCTGGAGAAAATAAATACTGTCAGAATATTCAAATACATGCACCAAAATAATTGTTCTATGCTGAAGATTTATACCAATTTTCACAGCGCTTTGTTTGTAAATAAAGTTACAGGCAAGTTTTAAAAAACATGAGTAAACCGTGGTAAAATTACGCCCGTGTGATTATTACGCGACACATGCCATTGTTTATTCACACGGGAAAACTTATGACATGAATTTGGCACGCTATACAATGTACTGTACGTAAAATAAATCAAAGATAATTAGAGATGGAATTAAGAAATTATGTTATAAATACAAATTTGAATTCGAAACGAAGGAACCCGATCAATTGCTAAAAAAGTGAATAGCGTTAGAATGATGTTTTACGAGATAAGCAAATATTCAAATTATTTGCTGAAAGTCATTTCTTGGGATTCGGTTGAACTGTTTAAGGAATGCTTGAATAAATCTATCCTTATATCGTTGTAAAGTCGATTGGTCTACTATGAATATATTGGTCATAAATATTTCAAATATTGAGTTAAACAACAGAAATTTAGCATTTTGATAATCTCCACATAATGCTTGGAAGTAGATAAAGTGTTATGTGATTAATATGAGCATTTAAATAATGAATGATAATATTTTTTCTAGAAATTTTTATAATCTGCTTTATTCAGTAATATGTATGCAATATGGGATCATATATACTGAAACTTAATGTTATGTCTTATTCTGAGTAATATTATAATACTGTATTAAGATTTTCTTTTATAGACCAATCCACTTTAATATGATACAACCCATTGTAAGAAAGCGAAGCTTTCCTTCCTGTGATAGAGGTTTGTTATCTTTTTTAAAATAATTTTTTATTTTCAAATCATTTTTATGATGATTATGTTATTATAAAGGTAAAGGCAAATGAATTTTCCCGGATTATCCTATTGGAACAACATAAAGTATAGCAAATATTACACAACTCGGTTATTCCGCTGCGAACGATATGTAGATTTGTACAAGCTAAATAAAACATAGTTGGTTGAATTGTTGAGCATGTGGCATATTATCAGGGTCCACATAAATTATGTTGTAAATCCTTAACCTTGACTTGTAACATGTTCGGCTAAGAAAGTCTCTGATTTTCTTTCAAACCTTCTTTCAAAAGTATTCATTTGAAGTTAGGCTTGCCCTGTCCAGTTTTTGTTTGGGTTCCTCCTGCGCTCCTTGTCACTGGCTCTTGTTACTGGGTCGGGTGGGGGCTGCGTTCAATGAACGCCGCCTTTACTTGTTGATCTTTTTTATCATATATTATATTGTAAATGACGTTTTACCGGATATAAAGCTATATCTTAATATGAAATATTTTCTTTAATTTTTTCAACAGTGAAATCATTTTGGTTCCATACTATAATCGTCAACTCTCGAAACAATATAAGTGTGTTAGAAACAAGTACGAGAAAGTCAGAAAATAAACGGCAACATTTATTTGATAACCATACAACAAAAGCAATTCAGTAAACAGTCACGGTCAACAAAAACATTACATAATGTAAATCAGGCATGCATATAAAACTGATTATATTTTCTTCGTCAAATGTATCATGTATTCAATGTATGTGGTAACTTTTTTGTTGTTGAATGTTATTACAAACAAAGTAACTATATCAATTATAATAGTGAAAATGTTAACATTGTAAAATTATATTGTATTGGTTCGAAATTGAGTACCATTTAATGAAATACTTTGCGCGTCTAAAGGCACTCTCCGATTAATATCCTTTTAATAATTTTGAATACAAGTCAACAAGGGATACACAAATGAGCTACATGTACAAAAATACTCTATAAAAATAACATCAACTTATATGTGTGCGTACGACTAATGAAATATATCAAGTTTTATTTGATGAAAAGGAGAGGCTTATTTCAGACCAACATCTCTTTCGAGAAATGTGAATTAAAATGAAATGTTTAACATCATATATAATGTAATAAAAATCATACAACGAAGAAAATTAAGGAATGTAAATGGAAAAAAGGAATTAGATCATATAAACATATTACACTAAACAGTTAATTCTGATTAAAAGCACCCAATGTTTTCAGCTTATTAAATTTACTTAGAATTATAAAAGCTTTTGTAAAAAGCGGGTTAAATATAAATTGTTTAATGATAATGTATGTTATAGTTAACAATAAAAAAACGCATATATTTTTTAAAATTTATTCTAAACATATATTTTAGAAGATATTCTGTATTAATTGACTTTCGAGAAATAGGAACAGTTATTAACTTATACTTATGTTTTATGTTACAATTTTCGAGGTCGAAAAAGTTAATACAATGTATAATGATTTATTTTTAAAATGAAGTTAAATTTAACACTACAGTAGTTATTTGCTGTATAAAGTGCCGTTTTTATATCCAGTTAGCATAATAATAACATGTTTATGTTAATAAATATGTCGAGCATATATGTTGCTCCTTATGAAATAAATAAACACAGTTTTCCGAGCTTCTTTTACAGTAATATAGAGATATGTAGATAATATCTTTAATGCAAGTTACACATTTTTAAACATTCACGATTAACAGATAAATATGACATGTATATATAATAAAGAAAATATCGTATAACGTTATTGGTAGAAGTGATTTTTATTTATTTTATTCATACATCCAGATTTCAATATATAGATTTCCAAAAAAAAAATAATAGTAAGAAAAATAATCTTTTTAATTTAAGAAACATTTAAAGTAAAACAAAATGAAGAAAAATAGAATACTCTGTTCATTGTAAACCATATATCCTTATTTTACTAATTGTCATCATATGATGTTCTGTTACACAGATAGGACTATTTTCAAACAATGTTGTGTAGTACGTGCATTATGGTATGTACATTTTTTACTATGTCACAGATCTTAAGATCTGTATTTAAATACATGTTTCAACAGCTTAAAGATATGATCTTGAGTTGAAGAGTTATCAATATGTTTGAAGCCGATGTCAAGTAAGAAGGGGTTTTGTTTTGTCATCATAGACGTAATATCCATTTATGTCTCAATAGATCTTCAATACTTCTAAGTTGTCCTTGAAAATATATAGAAGATTAATAGTACGGATGTAAATATGTAATATATAACTAAGACACGCATATAATTATAAAATGATTGAAAACTGGTATTGAATTTGCCAAACAAAAACGGCAGAATTTCATTCTTGTATGAAACTTTTATAATACAGCGTCTATGCGTAACGCTGCGTTTTTTAAACGCTGCTTAGCTTAACAAATGTTGATTAGATAACGGTTAACGTAAACAATATATAAATTTATATTTATATTATTATATAATGCTTTGCTACAATGATATATAGATATATATTAATAATCAAAATAAATATTATATCTTATCAAGTTATCAACATAAGAACACCGTCTATGATTTCTAACTTTGTGTATTGGGATTCCAATCATTATTGGAATTGTTTCCCTTTGATGCCATGTTTTCAAATCAAAGCAGTAGTAAATCAGTAAAAAATGTAAATCTCACAATAACTCCAACTATAGATTATATTTCAATAAATATCTTTATACTTCTCTTTTTATTCAACATTGTTGATATTGAAAAGCATTACAGAAGTTAACGTTTACAGTAAGTAAATTTAAAATCTAACAATTTATAACTCAATCAATATACTTCATGTATAATTACACCGAGACAAATACTTATTTACAGCAGGATTTAAACTACTAATGACATATTGATGTAACAGCGTCACGCAAAGTAATCAGAAGCTATTAAATTTGATTATCAGCTAAAGACAGTCATGTTAGTCCAGCTAATTTTTTGATAACGAAGCTTATCAGATGCGTTTAAGCTATATACACAGCAAGTAAAGCAATAACAAGAAATTATTTCAATACTCTGAAGACGTTTGTCTATTATTCACTTCGTTTTTTTAATATTTCAATTACTTTATACACGAACAATTTTGTCCTTATCTCGTCACTTCACATAAAATGTTTTTGATCACCAATAACCATCAAAAGAGTACCTTTTCGCAAACAAACCATATTTTTGAAATAACAATAATTAGTTTTTTCAATAACTCATTGATACACGCTCTTATTTCAAGTGCATTCTGGAAAACCACTATGCAACTATAGAGAATTATAATTCTTCTTGGCCATGCTTTGTTTGTATTTCCTTATCAACATATTGAATATCTGTTTCTAGGACCTTTTCCTCGTTCCCATTCGGTTCGTATTTGTGAACATCTACGTTATTCAGCTGAAATGCATTATTTGTATGCATACATGTATTTTCCGTTTGATTCACCATTGACGTAAATTCATACTTTTCATCTTTTCCGTTTTCTTTTCGTGTTGTTGATCTTGGAAATATGCTATTATCTGCTGTGTGACTTCGTGACGATTCAATAAACTGGACGCAGTTGAAAGCTTTCAAAAAGCTCTTCCTAAACACTTCACTTAAAAAAGCATATAAAATTGGATTTATCATGCTATTGGCAAACGATAACACTGTGAAGGCGCTAAACATATATATTTGCCAGCTCGACACTTTGGTACCGGATGGTTTAAATGTAAGATTTCCTTGGAAACACCAGTAAGGTAGCCAGCAAATAACGTACACGGAAATCATAGCAAGAACCATTCGAGTGACCTTCCTATTTGACTTTTTCCTTTCTTTTGATTTCTTGCTGGGACCAACACTTTTTAACCGTAGAACGACAGATATATAAAACACTGATATCAAAGCAACTGGTATGAGGAATCCGAGCAAGAACGTATACCACGTAAAGGCTTTATCGCCAGGAATAGGCTGGTCATCCGGCCAGTGAATTGTACACGTATCTTTGTCGGCGTATTTCTGGTTTGAGACTGTAGTTGAGTATAGAATTATTGGCAGCATCACGAAAAATGATATGGACCAGATACTAAGACAAACGAAGAAAGCTATTCTCGTTGTTCTGTAGTACACTGACCGGACTGGATGGCAAACTGCGAGATATCGGTCAGCAGACATGGCTGTAAGTGTAAACACACTTGTAAAGAAATTTATTGAGAAAAATACAAAATATATTTTACACATTGCTCTGCCAAATATCCAGTATTCCAGAATAGTTGTAGTTATTAGGAATGGCAGGCTCAACAGAAACAGGACATCCGACACCGCTAGATTTAATATGTACAGATTTGTTACAGTTTTCATTTTAGAAAACCTCAACACAACATAAATCACTAGCCCATTTCCTACTAGTCCACACAAACAGATAAACACGTATGACGTTATCATAAAAATCTGATGTATTGGTAAGTTGGCCGAGTCCGCCCCTATTGCAGTTGTGTTGTTTCCCGCACCAGTCTGATTATCATAGTAGCATATTAGTTCATGCACTACTATAACTGTTGTATTTGGCTGTAAAGTCATTCCGTTATCTTCAGCCGTCATGTTGACGTAGTTAAATCTGAAAGTAGAAAATTCAGTAATTGACTTATATTATACATTGTTATCTGTGTTACTTCGTTGTAAGTGCTCTCATACAGCCTTCCCTTTCTTATGCGATTGCACTTTTAAATACGTTAATATGAGTTTAACATATAGTTTGGCACAGAAGAAGTAAGTAAGTCAATATGATTGCGGCAAGATACAAAAAACAACGCAATATTATGCCAAGGAAACAGTACAAATAAAATTACGAATACAATACAATGGACGAATGATTAATACACGATTTAAAGTACACTTTGCCCGGGAGATGGATTTTATATTTACCTGTTGAAGGCGTCATTTTGTCTTGAAAATAATGATAACAAATGCACTGACAGCAACTAAATGATATAAATTATATCTTTATTTTTTGCTTAACATTAACTCCACAGATAATATTAATTAATCCACCTGTGGTACAAGTTTGATGATATCTTTATTGATATTATTCTGATATTTGCGATTAATATGAAACCAAAAGTGTAACTAAAGAAAATTACTTGAAGGAAGATTTATATCGTATTCCAATAAAATATCCATTAGGCAAAGATGTCTCAAGACCTCTCTGTGATTGTATTTATCAATACAGTCACGGAAGTGATTTATAAGAAGACCTTCTAAATACATCATCGACTGTCTGCTGTCAGATGATATCACTAAATCGAAAAGTTATCCGACACAAATCACTTTATTCACTTATTTCAAGCTGAACTTGTTAACGGAAAGTCCATTTCTAATACAAGAAAACAACTCATTACTCTTTTCAATTTTACAACGTTCATATTTGAGACGATACATTTATGTAAGAGAAAAACAAAGTTGTTTTTTTAAGGGGAATAAGGGGTTTGCACTTACATTGATATTTTAAAAAACAAATTTAAAAACCCAAAATGAAAAATTTTGGGGATTTTTTTAAATTTACCCCTTTAAATTAAACCCCAAAGGGAAAATTCATTAAAATTTTGTCGAATTCCTACTCTTTTGAAAGTGTTTTGTTTTCAACCCCAAGGGAAACGTTTTTTTAAAAGAAAATGACACAACCATATTTTTTAATATTTTTCTTTTTTTTTTAAAACTTTTGGGGATATAAGCACTGTGCTCAAACATACACGGGATAAAATTGAAAGATAAACAAACTTTTTTTAGGGGGATTTGAAAATGGCCCGGTTTAAAAGTTTTGTAAACCCAATTTTTCTGGGTTTCTATTTTGGGAAAACAACGGCTATATGATAGTATAATTTAAAATTTTCGTGTGCCCAAGAACAACAGTATGAAGTATACATTTTAAATGACGAAAATCTTAAAACACGATGAATAAAATACTTTATAAATTGATCCGTTGCTTATAATCATAGTAATTTTGGCCTTATAATCGAAAATTAAGGTATAAATATCATTTAAATCCATAAACGTCTCCTATTTTTGGTTTTTGATATATAGTACATTCAAATGACATTTACCGGTATTTCATAATCTAGAACGAGCAAATGATATTATGCTATAAGAAAGAAATCTATATTGATACCATGTTAATTACAATCCACTTTCTAAACATTTTTAAATAATATTATGGTTACGCTATTGTAATTCGATGCGTTTAATTTATAAAAATTGATCGTCTCTTATGAGAAGACAAAGTTATTAATTGTTGCTAATAAAATATATTGATTTTCTAAATTCTGTAATTCAGATTTTGGCCATATAATCACTGGTAATTTTGATATAATTGCAGACAAAGAATTCGTAAACTTATTTTGAAAGGACCTAAATACAGAATTCCTTCTGAGATTGATTTTAATGCTTGTCGTGGTCAGATTGCTGAAATCTATAGAGGATTTTTCGGTCAAATGGTGTCGCCGTGAAAATGCGGATATTAATGCTCTAGTTACATGGAAACGTAAACATCTTTAAAAATTATTGATTCACGTATTAATTTTTTATCGTGGAAATGAACATCTTTTGCCACCTAAACAAGACTTACTTTAAGACATCTGAAAAAAGATTTTTTCTAGCTTTTCATTCAAAATTTGTTTGGTGCCAGCGGACAAGGCGGCTAATAATATTATAATTGTTTGACGAATCCATTACATTAACGTTTTGCATAAGGAACTAAATAGCACTAAAATGCGTAGTTCTAAAAAGCCTCTGCCTTTCCGAAAAAGACATTGTAAACAATCATATTTACTAATATTTCCAATCTTAAAGTCCAAATTAATGAAAAAGAACTCAAACTTCCTATTATGTATTGGATTCCTAAATTACATAAAAACCCTTACAAAGCCAGATTTATTGCTAACTCTACATCTTGCAACTACAAGTAAACTTTCTATTTTATTGACGTCTTGTTTGACTGCCATTAAAACACATGTAATTAGATATTGTGATAAAGTCTATGAAAACACAGGCAAACATCTCTTTTGGTCAATTAAAAATTCTGGTGAAATCTTGGATAAATTCAAAATTAAAATAACTTTCAAGCTTCAACTGTCAGTACATACGATTTTTCTACACTTTATACAACTTTGCCACATAAATTAATCAATGATAAACTAATTTCCCTAATTCAGAAAACTTTTGCACGGGAAAAAGTTACCTTTCTAGCATGTAATTCTAACAAAGCTTTTTTTACTAACGGTATTGTTAAACATTATACTATGTGGACCTGTGACGAAGTTTGTAGAGCACTCTCTTTTCTTTTAGACAACATTTATGTCAGGTTTGGTAATACCCTATTTAAACAGATCATAGGATTCCTATGGGTACTAATTGTGCACCCCTGGTCGCCGATTTGTTTTTGTTACTGCTATGAAAGAGACTTTATGTTGAGTCTCTCTGAAGAGAAACAACAAGATGTTATAGTCGCATTTAATAATACTTCCAGATACCTTGATGATATTTTTAATTTAGATAATCCTTATTTTGATCAAATGGTGTCTGACATTTATCCGCATGAACTACAACTTAATAAAACGAACTCTTGAAATTTTAGTACATCATTTTTGGATCTTCATATTACTATCAATAACAATTCTATTCACACGAAAATTTATGATAAAAGAGATGACTTTGACTTTTGTATAGTTAATTATCCACATTTGGATGGAGACGTACCCCATGCAACATCCTACGGGGTTTATGTTTCTCAGTTAATTTGATTCGCTAGAGCTTGTAACAACGTAAAGGATTTCAACGAGCGGAATATTTTTATTACCAGCAAGCTTCTAAAACAGGGCTACCGCTATCATAAATTACGGAAATATTTTACTAAATTTTACAATCGGAACTTTGATTTAATTTCTAAATTTAATAGTGATTTAAAAACTCTTCTGCGACAAGGGATTAGCCAGCCTGGTTTTTATGGCGATGTGGTTTACAAACTTCGTAAGATTTTGGGTCATGGTAATTTTTCTGCTGTTTTTACTAAAATCATTAAACGTTTTATTAAAAGAGGTTATGATCCTACTATTTTAAGACATACTGCATGTTTAGTGTTCAACCCTTTTACAGTTGGACACTACGCTTTCCTCTTTTGATTGCATCTGACGGACCAAGTGGGAGACTCTATGATGGATAGTTCTTAAAGCCCTTTGGGACTGAATTGTCTTAAATGTTCGTCTTCTGCCTTGCTTCGTCGGGCCCTTGTAGGTGATTTTCTTGTTGCTCTGTCTTCCTTTAGGACATTGAGTACTTTTGTTATGGTCATTGGGTTTACTTTTATATGTTTTTACATGATCATTTTAGTGTTTTACTTATTTAACCTTTTGTAACCATGACAACTGTTAGAATTTCACTTGGCGGGGATTCATTTTATTTACACTGTCTCGTTTATAGGAACATTGTGGGGCTAAGAGCGAGGTTTGGTGCACCATTAACCGGTTTAAAACTCCCCAGCAGTCATTATTATGCTGCTGACCGTTCCAAGGCGGCGCCCCACTGTGTTCCTCAGATGTATGTCTATGTTGTTTCATACTGTTTTGGTGACACTTTTGCTTGTGTCCCTTGTTGTTTTCTCGTCTACGGTAAGTATCTTCCCCATTGCCTCTAGTTTTTATTTCTTTTGATTAAACCCCCCCCCCCCCTTCCCCGGTCTCCTGTCCCCTTCCCCTTTGTGGGCCTATTATTATTTTCTTTGAATTCCTAATCAGTTACAAATTATTTATCATTTAATGATTAACGTGTCGTTGCCCTGTCATTTTTATGTTTGGGGTCCACCTGGGCTCCTTGCCATTGGTTCTTGTTGCTGGGTCATATGGGGGTTGCGTTCATTGAACGCCGCCTTTCCTTGTGTTGATCTTGTTTTTCATATTTTTTACTATTAAACTTTGTCTTTGTCATAGTTTGTTTACAGAAATAGTTTGTGATACATTCAATAACCTTTTATAATCTACATTTACAAAATGTCCGCGGCTGTGACCGTAACATGAATCTTCTCGTGATAAAGTTGAGATAATTCAATAAGCTTCTGATTTATGTTTCACACAGATGCTGATCTTAAACTAACAAATCGACCATCTGCACAGATAAACAAGACTTGCGTTTTAATGAAACTGACAAACGTGTTTACCTTCATCACGGTTGTCATGACGGTATGATAATCAAAAATTATAAAGTGCATTTAAAAGAATGGCCAAGTGCGTATGGTATTTATCTTTAAACACAGGGTTTCTAGCCCTGTGTCCCGTTTGACTAACTTATTTTATAAAACCCCTGTTACATTCAAATTTTTTCTAAAGCTAAAAAACTGAAAGATTAAAGATATGTTATAAACTTAGTTACACTCAAGTGTTGTTTGTTTGGATGATTTATTCATATATTGCTAAAGTGTTATGTGGCGTCTTGGATGTTGTATGTCTCGTTATCATTTCTGAACAGACTGTTTCACCGTTTCCTTTTTGTTTTCATTGCTCAAGCATCTCCATATTACCAGATTTTTATATAAAATCAAAGAATTGTAGTAATACATCAATGCGTCAAGAAAAGTTGTTATATCCTTTATATTCTTTAG